AGGCTGACGTTTCGGGCCTAGACCCTTCATCCCGAAACGTCAGCCTTTCTGCTCCTATGATGCTGCTTGGCCTGCTGTGTTCATCCAGCTCTACACCTTGTTATCTCGGATTCTCCAGCATCTGCAGTTCCTACTATCTCTGATACAGTTTTCATCAGTTATTTTTTCAAAAGGCATTAACTGCTTTAAAAAACGAACATTCCATCATGTTGTGAGGGAGTGGGCTAAACTGTTAGCTGCATGGGGAGGAAAACACGAGCAGTGATTCAATGGGCTGAGTGGTCTGCTTCTGACTCTGACATGATTATGCAGGTTATCAATTAGCCCTGAAATTATAGGTGACCGTCGCTGCTCTCTGGTGGCACAGTGGTAGTATCTACCTCTGGACAAGGAGGCCCAGGTTCAAGTCCCACCTGCTCCAGCGCTGTATGATAACATCTCTGAATGGGTTGGTTAGAAAAGTAGTTAAATAATTTTCTTTCTAATTTAGTTGACAGTTGCCTCCCCTCCTCCTCCCTCACTTTGGTGACTTACATTGTCCTTACTGGGCTTTGTATGTTAATTAATCAATTGGACAACATGGTGATTTACTGGTGATGGTTAATAAATTGGAACAACACGGGTGATTTGGTGATGCTGGGGAGAATAAAAAAAGTTCAGTTATCTGGCACGTCCGGATATATAAAGAACAGTAGGTGACTGTTGTTTGGTGCAGTGATAAGGGCCATATCTCTGGACCTGGAGGCATGGGTTCAAGTCCCACCTGCTCCAGAGATGTGTAATAACATCCCTGAACAGGTTGGATTCAAAACAATCAAGGTGAGGATCTGAAATCCAGAGTTGAAGCTGCAGTGTTTGGTTTCAGCATAGTGAGGATGTTGAAAGAGCTTGTGTGTAGGACTCAGAGGGTTCACAGGTTGGTTTGAAGTTTGACAGGCTGCAACATTACGACTCCTTTTGTGACCAAGTGCCTTTACACAGGTTTCATGGTGGCGCTTGGTCCTAGGCAGCAGGAAGATTTAAAGTCAACCCAAAACCCATCTGATAGCGGCCACCACCGACATGAGTAATCCACCAGACATCAGTCTGCAATTCTGACTCAGAGCTCCAGTCGCCACTTGCCTGAGCTGTTTGGATTGAGATTGGGATGCTGAATCCTTTGGCTGGAATGGGAATGCTGAGAATGGGATCATTGCAGGGAGGAGTTCATAGAATCCCTACAGTGTGGAAGCAGGCCATTTGGCCTAATAAGTCCATATTAACCCTCAGAAGAGCATCCCTCCCAGACCCACCCATCCCTGTAACCCTGCATTTCCCATGGCCAATATCCACCTATCCTGGACACTGTGGGCAATTTAACCTGCATGACTTTGGTCTGTGGGAGGAAACTGGAGCACCCGGAGGAAACCCACGCAGACACGGAGAGAATGTGCAAACTCTACGCAGTCGCCCAAGGGTGGAATCGAACCCAGGTCCCTGCCCTTGTGCTGGGTGGTGGCTAACTTGGGATCACATAGAGGGCATTCAGTCTGTTCTGCCATTCAATCAGCTCATGTCTGATCAGCTCCTCCAGTCCACTTAGCCGACAGGGCTCCAGATTCCCTCAATAATATTATCCAACCGAAACCTATCACATTTCCTTCCTTTTCCAGTTGGACCCCGGCATGCTCAGCCTTTTCTTGGGGAAGGAGATCCGGATTTCCAGTAGCTCTAGCTTTTCTGGACAACACCTCCTCCATTAACTCCAGAGGAATAGTGAGTAACATTTCTCTTTTCCCTATCCAGCTTCACCATGCCAGCTGTGGATTACGCCGTGCTCACCGAGTGGTTTAATTGGATCGTGACGAACGTCAATATTCCCATCGATTTGATTGGTAAGAGCTGCTAATTGACTTGGGCGAGGGCCTTAACGAAATGGCAAGGTACTGGGAGGTCAGGGTCATTCTGACAGACAGAGTGGACGTGTTCTGCAAAGCAGCTGTTTGGTCTCACTAATGTAAAGGAGACTACGCTGTAAGCATTGAATGAAGTAGACTGAGCAGCAAATAGAATAGACTGGACTGAAAGACACACATGTGAAATTCTGCTTCAGCTGGAAGGTATGTGGGAGGGAGAAGGTAAATGGCCAAGGGATTCATCTTATGCGATTGCATGGGAACATGCCATTGGAGAGTGGGGCAGTTTTATGAGTGATAGAGGAGTGGACCAGAGTGTTCTGGAGGGAATGGTCCCTGTGGAATGATGACCCAGCTGGGAGGGGAGGATGTGTTTGGTGGTGGAGAATGATGAGGTTGTTGACTTGCTCGCTGAGCTGGCTCGTTTTTGTTCAGACATTTCGACACCATGGAGAGATGGTGGAGAATGATGTCGAGACTGGTGGGGTGGAAAGTGAGGACAACTGTTGTGGTTCTGGAAAGGAAAGGAAAGGGTGGGGGCAGAAGTGCAGGTGATGGATTGGACGTGGCTGAGGACTGTGCCAGTCACAGTGCGGTGAGTGGGGGGATGTCCTCAGGTGAAGCAAAAGGAGGACATGCCAGAGGCAACCTGGTTGAAGGTGGCATCATCAGCAGAGATACAGTAGACATGGAGAAACTTGGAAAATGGAATGGAGTCCTTGCAGAGAGCAGGGTGTGAAGAAGTGTAGTCATGGTAACTGCGGGGTTCAGTAGGTTTGTAATGGATATTGGTGGACAACCTAGCTCCAGAAATGGAAACAATGAAGTAAAGGAAGGGAAGGAGAGAGTCCGAGATGGACCAGGTGAATATGAGAGAAGGATGGAAATAAAAGCAAAATTGATGACTTCGTTGATGATTTGGTGAGCTGCCTTCTTGAACTGATGCAGCCCACCAGCTGTGGTTTGATCCACAATGCCATTAGGGAGGGAATTCCAGGATTTTGACCCAGTGACAGTGAAGGAACAGTGACATATTTCCAGGTCAGGATGGTGAGTAGCTTGGAGGTGAACTTGCAGGGGTGGTGTTCTCATATATGTGCTGCCCTTGTCCTTCTGGATGGAAGTGCTTGTGGGTTTGGGGAAGGTGCTGTCTGAGGATCTTTGGTGAATTTCTGCAGTGCATCTTGTAGATGGTACACACTGTAACTACGTATTGTTGGTGGAGGGAGTGGATGCTCGTGGATGTGGTGCCAATCAAGTGGGTTGCTTTGTCCTGAATGGAATCAAGCCTCTTGTATTGTTGGAGCTGCACTCATTCAGGAAAACTGTGGATATTCCATCACACTGCTGACTTGTGCCTTGTAGATGGTGGATGGGCTTTGGGGAGTCAGGAGGTGAGTTACTCACTGCAGTATTACTAGCTTCTGATCTGCTTTCTTAGCCACCATATTTATATGGCTAGTCCTGTTCAGTCAAGGGTTATGGGGTTGGCAGACAGGGTCATGGATTGAGACCATAATCAGGTCAACAGTGATCTTATTAATGGTGGAATGAGTTCTTAAAACTAAATGGCTGCTTCCTGTTCTCATGACCTACTTTTCTATTGCTGGAAAAGGGACATCCATAAGGGCAGGATCAAGCACAATTGTGATGCCCTCCGTGGTGTAATTTCTCACTCTAATTCTGTGAAGAACATTGGGTGTGGATATCAAGTGTCCTTGGTACCATTGCAAGTGTACACTTGCTGGAGGTCTCCCTGCGACTCAGGACTGCAGTAGGAAGGGTCTAGCTGGGGTGGGGGGGGGTGGGAGTGAGCTTGACAGTTAAAAGAAGAAGGGACCTGTTTTGTAGGATCCTAACACCTCGACTCCTCAATCTCATTCTTCCTCAGTGTATCTTCAAACTGCTCCTGAGACTTGTCACGAGAGACTGAGAATCCGGTGTCGGAATGAGGAGCAAGTTATTCCCTTAGTGAGTATGAAAATGCACAAGGGTTTGGGTCAAGCTGATGTGAAGGGCATTTGCTTTGTTTAGAGACTTCTTAACAATGGATCATCCTCATTCATTCATTTATCATCATCATTTGTATCAATTCTCATCAATCCAACATTGGGGAGGTGGTTGCAGAGTGATATTGTCACTGGATTAGTTGTAATCCAGATGTCACGCTAATGCTTGGGGTCACAGGTAGCCGATAGAATTTAAATTCGTGGAATTTAATAAGTTGAAAACTGGTCTCGATAATAGCGTCCATGAAACCATTATAGGAAGGACGTGAATGCATTGGAGAGACTGCAGAAGTGGGCCAAACTCAGGCAGGTGGGTCTAGTTTAGTTTGGGAACATGGTCAGCATGGACTGGTTAGACCAAAGGATCTGTTTCTGTGTTGTATGACTCTATAAGTGATTTACAGGAATGGTTCCAGGATTGAGAAACTTCAGTGATGAAGTAAGGTACCAGAAAACAATTGATGCTGCGAGTTTAGCTGATGAAGGTCTTGCTGCCTGCTGGAGAGGAATGGGATAGAGAGAGTTGGAGGAGAAGGACTTGATTGGAAACTGGGGAGGAAAACTGCTTCCATTTTGTGCAATCCTCTCACTGTTGACTGTGTCCAATTTAATCAGGAATATTTAGAAGCTCTTCATCAGCTTCATGAAGACTGGCTGATCAGACAGACCTCCTTCAAAGTCCCTGCCCCTGTGTTGGTGAGTAATTTAACTGGAAATGATATTACTGACTCAGAGTTGCAAGAGGTGGAATTAGATCTGGTGTGATAAGGGGTGGAGGTGGGGTAGAGATGGTCACAGTGGCTGGTGTGGTAATGACGGGTGG